AACCTAAGTATTTATTGAGGAAACATGCAACTATAAAAGGAAAGAGAGTCATGCAGAATGTAGCATCCCCATAATAATCACCAAGTTAAAAAGAGGGGGTGAAACCTTAGTCCCAGAATTAATGCAAAGTTCCCATCAACTTAAATAGGACCAGAATCCTCCATCTAAAACTCATGACAGATCCTTAAGATAGTAGGGAAGTCTGGCCCTGGGCAAAAGAGAAACAAGCAGAAGTAACAGCTCCAGAAAGGAAAGTTAAGATGTTTTAATTATACTTTAGCAATTACTACCTGGAGGAACTGGACTGAGCATAAGTAGCAAAGCGTATTCTGCTCCTTAAAAAGTTCAAGAAACCAAACCAACAGAACCCCACCATTCAGACTTTCTGCCTTGCTGTGCCTCATCTTTATCAGAGTGAAGCCTGAACAGAGACATACAGCTAGGAACTTCGGAGTTGGCGCAGAAAACCTGAAACCGCAGCTCCTCTCAGCAAGTTGGGGACAAGCATCGAGCAAGTGTTAAGTGGCCAAAAGCACTTCCTCCCTCTGAAAGGCTTCCACAGTCCCAGTCACGCAGCACGGCCTCACCCCAGGGGAGATCCCCAGCAGATGACTTCAATGCCCACTCCTAACCCCACTTTCTGAAGCCAGGCTATTCACAGACAAAAAGCAGCTGGACCAGCACCTGGCTGTTGCTGTAGCAAAGCCATGGCCACCGGATTTGTGAGAGCAGTGCATTAAACTGACTATGCTTCCCTGAGGTTCTTTCTGAACACCTAGAGAGGGAAGATTCCACTTTTGAAAGCCTGGCCAGGGCTCTGTGATTGTAACTAGACAAGAGAGCTTAACAGTTGCCTTCATAAATAAACAAATATCTTTTCTTCAGTAACAAATTCAGATGTTCATTATCCCTATTTTTCCCTGATTATAGCCTCTAGATTTTTCAGTGGCATCTATCATGATAAGGAATGAGAGGTCTGAAAGAAAAAATAAACTTAAATTTTGTACCATCTGTTAAATGACTTCCAGTCTGAGAGAACAGATGCTGGACTTCACTATCAGTGTTTGATTGATCTGGAAGTATTTTGTTAATTGAGGCTAAAACTACGGCTAAGACAAAATATCTGTCAGAGAAAATACAAAAGAATAACTCAAATTCTTCTCAAACTACCTGGTCACTCAAAAAAAGATTTTGTAATTTTGGCAATCATCATATGGCATGAAAAAAAAAAAAATCTTCCTTTGAATGAATGGGACAATATCTGAAAAACAGAATATATCCTCTGCTTAGACTCTATAAATACTGTGAACAGCTCAAATGGTTCATCAGGTTCATCCTGCTCACCTGAACTGGATAGCAATTTTCCTTTCTTATATTACTGCATGTTTGCTGTTTTATTGTACATTAACTTATTATACGTCTGTGCATTACTTATTGTACATCTGTCCTGCACTCTCCCAGAGATAAATCAATGAATATAAAATCCAAATATGAACCTCAGTGCCTTCAGAGGTTCATATGATGATCACCTCTCAAAAATCTGATCAACTACTGGTGTATCAGTGCATACCGCATAAGACAGCATACTGCATAACTACGAGTATTTCTACACAGAACCAAACTGCCAAACACCAAAATGCCAGAAGTGCCAAAACAATTATGCTAATTACAGAAGTCAGTTTCAATTACAAAATGATTGCTAAGATAATTGTGGCATAAATACAGAGACTTAATTTTTACTACATGCACTGAAAATTGTTTCATCTACCAACACCTCTGGTGCCTCTAACTTGCATGTGACTGCAAGGAAGTGGCTTAATGTGAAAAAATACGTCTGTGGCAAAGGAAATGTAGTATTAATTTTAAATTTTCAGCAGCAATATACAGAACAAATGAATTTTCTCTAAATACTGCTTTAACATTTGCGTGAAAGAGCATAGCTATACTCAAAATGCAGCGTTCAGTTGTCTGTGCCATGTTTTTTCATTTGTCAGATATCGATTCTTCCCCGTGTTTTAAAACAATCTGTACCTAATTTAACCTATGTTATTTAAGCTTTCCATGCTTCCCAAAACATTATGCCAAAGCATATTTCAGTATGATTGATGATAAGAGTTTTAGAAATGGTACTGTTGCAAAAATAAGGGCTGGTGTAATGTATTTTGATGTAACAGATTTTCATTTTAACAATAAACACTTTCAACCTTCTGCACCTTTTCCCCCCCCACTTACGTGACATTTAAAAAAATCTGAGTGCCTTCTCCACTGTCGTTATCTGTCCAGCTTTGACTGTTACCCCTACAGCTGATGGAGGGATGCTCTGTGATTTATACATTGAGAATTCCTTCAGGCCAAGAGAATTCTTGCGTACTGATGTAAGTCAGTGAAGCATGATGAGGTTTTAGCCTCCAAATATAACTGCAGTCCTCATATAATGGCATGGAATGCAATTGTCACCACTAATATTATACTTAAAAAAAACCACAACAACAAAACAACAAAAACCCATCTTTCTCTGCTTGATAGTAAAAAATAAAGCATTTGAAACACGTCCTGGAATGTAAAAAGTTTCACCAATTTTTCCACTCCTCTTTTTTTTTTTTTTTCCAGTTTTCATGGTTATAAAATACCACAGGTCAGTATTTCATACTGACATACCCACTTTACACATTTCTCAACTTTGCAAAGAGAGTAAGATCTGTACTGTTAACCAAGAATTCTTCTTTGAACTTTCATTTATCAGACTAAATCCGTATTTCATTAATACGTAAGCACTTGCAGCAAACGCCAAGAAAAACCTCTCAGCTCAAACAGGTCTGACAAATGATGCAGAACTTTGTCAAAGTTCAGCCCCTGTAACACCATAATGGACTTGGAGAGTCACTAGCACTTTTACAATTGCACCACTTAGCAAATAACACAAGCAATTGCAAAATAAGATGCACACTAAATATTCAGATGCACACACAAGTGGCCACGCAAAGAGAAACAATGAAGAGTCAACTAAAATCCTGTGTTAGCCTTCAGAATTATAGAGTTGAGATTAAGACCCATGTAACATCATTTATACGCAAGTCATCTGACTTTCCATTTACTTACTTCATTCACATGAACTTAACTGGAAGTATGGTCTTAAATACACGATCTTCAACTGAAAAGACTCCCAACTCCAGCACATGTTGCTGAACCCCAGTTCTTTCCTCATGCTCCCTGATGTGCCAATACAGCCACGTGTAGAATCTTGCTACACACTAGTTGAGTAGTTCATCTAGGCTGAAACGTTCCCCTCGCACCACACGAAGAGGCTGGGGGTTTCTGTGCTTTTTTTGAAACAAAACAGTGATAGATTGCTTTACACAACTGGGGAAAAGGAGAGAATTACAACACTGTATAGGGAAGGTAAAGGGAAAAAGGCATAAATTTCAGAAGCGAATGAAAGCAGGTGCAACTGCTCCATCAATTTAAGCCAGCATTCATTTGGAATAAAGTAGTGCAGAAGCAGACTCACCGGAGCTTTCTAGGCAGACATCAAGTCCAAGACAAAAGCTCTCTTCTGTTCGATACACTTATGTATCTCAGTTGATATTCAGAGACTCTAAAGAATTCCATCTTTTTATAAGTAATACAGGAACACATTCCCCATACGCAAACACAAAGATTCAGGCCTTAAAACTACAAAGTAAAAAACGTGGCTCAAGTGTGACCAAGAGAGTATCACTTGCAGAAGACTGAAGACAGCCTGCAATAACATCTGACTAAGAGTTACCACATCCTCACTAATCGTGTCTTCGCATAATATTTAGTGATAACTACAATGAGAACAAATTTGGCCTCAGAAGGGAAGAGTCAGGTTGTAAAACAGAAAAGGGAGAGAAAGAAGACACCATGCAGGATAGTAGCAAGGTGCCAAAGTGTCATAGTTTAACACAGCTGGCAACCAAACACCATGCTTGCTCACTCTCTCCCACCTTTGAGGAATGGTGAAGAGAATTAAAGGGGAAAAGAGAAGGAGACTCGCGGGTTGAGATAAGAACAAATTAATAATTGAAATACAATAAAATTAAAAGTAATCATGATTAAAATAAGAACAAAAATGATAATAATGTACAATAATATATATAATGATAATCCAGGGGCCAATGCCTGAACCAGCAAGCGATCCCGAAACACAGAAGTCCCAAAACTGCAATCCCAGAAAAGTGAGAGGCACAGAGAGAGACACGGGTGAGGGGGAGAGACAGAACTCCAAGAGTCGGAGAAAATCCAAACTTCCTGGTCAACCCTCATCTATATACTGGGCATGATGTGGCATGATATGGAACATACCATTGGACAATTTCAGCCTCAATCCTAAATCTAAACTCAAATCATAAGCTACGAGTTGTGGGTCCTTTATTCCAGCTATGCTCCCCCCAAGTTTGCCATGTACCTGCACGCTGGCAAAATATGGGAAACTGAAGTCCTTGATGCCTTAGCACCAGCCATAAACATCACTGTGTTACCAAGATTCTTCTCATAACAAATCCCAGACTAAATCCAAAATGCAGTGCTATTCTAGCTACTAAAAAGAAAAACTCTGTCCCAGTTGAAATCAGGACACAAAGGAAGACAGAAGTGCAATAAGAAAACAAGGGAAGTGAAAGAGTGCAAGACCAATGAAGCATATGAAAGGGGAAGTACATTTTTTCCACTAAGCAATGGTAAACCGGACAATATGATACTGAACAAATAAACAATTGCTACAAGTTCAGTTCATATTCCAGTGCCTTATGTTACTGTTGAGCTTTACGTAAATCTCTTATTTTTGAAGAAAGAGAGCCACTGTTAATTGACTGTATCATCTAAAATAACCGTTTTGCCAGAGGAACTTCTCTCCTTTACAGAAAATTAGTACAATGCACTTTGTTGTAGATCCAAATACATATATAGCTTGTAAAACTGCTATATACCAACAGTAAGAACAGTTTTTATCCTTAAGAAATAGGTTACAAGACACTTACTGCCACAACATGCTTGAGACCGTGGTCACTGGGATGAGAAGCACTTGGGTGGAAGTCAGCAGGTGGGCCCAAAGCTGGATCACTGCTCCTTCGTACTAGAAGTGGTGTGCCTAAGAGACAAAATAAAGAGCAGCAGTTCAAGGGTGCTACAGGAACACAAAGTAAAACTTCATGTGGTTTAACTAAGAGAGATGCACAGTGCTTAAATATAAGTGTACCTGTGGCAATATTCACCTGCTAAATTACTAGATTTGATGGGGTTGTGCCATTCAGTATTTACCAAGCTAAACAAATGAGAACACTTTAAGGTCTGTTTTACAGCCTTCCACTCATGAGCTGCTAAATTAGGTGAAAACTGCTGACAAACAGGAGAAAGGCTCCTTCTCAGAGAAACAAATGAATAGTTGCATGTATCTGTGACCACACATACCATCAGGTTCTGACAGAGAAATCATACGCTTTATCTACAGAATAACTGTGAACATAGCAAGAACTGGACTGCTATTGGTAGTTCCTACAACTGGTAGTGTTACTTACCTAAACTAGAACATGATCTAAAGCCTTTCACTCCACACTAAGGACAGCTCTCATTGCACTGTTCTGCATTAACTCACCGAACTGGGATCTCACAATATCATTTTCAACTCTTCTGCGCTTTCTCCAAAAGCTGTATGAGCAAAAGCTGTACTGAGCAACTGCTTGTCTCTCCCATACCAATTATACAAGTCCACCTTTAACCTGTATGGGAGGTTACTTTGAATATGATGGCATGACCTTACATATATACAGTCATAAATTTTACTTCCATAAGCTCATAAGACGCAATAGTCCATCACCACTACTTCTGTGCCCTCCCAACCCGAGGTGCGTAAACGACAGATCAGGCACAGGTTTTGGCTACAGAAGCAGCTGAAGGATAAATAGGTAACTCCCTGTATTAACTTCACTTAGGATTCTAACATGCCTTGGGCTGGCTCTGCAGATAGCCTAAATAAGGATATAAAGAGGAGCGGGGGAAGAGATTTTATTCGTAGCAGATCTGCCTCCCACTACCAACTGCCAGGATTCCCAGGGAACAGACACAGGCACTCGCAGTTGTTTCAGAGAAGCTCTAGACTAAACAGCTTCCTCTTGCAGGCATCTCCAATTAGACTCACCAACTATTCATGTCTATTCACGTACTGTCTGGGAATAACCTCAAAGACCAGTCAGCAGCTTCGAGTGACAAAGTCATCCACTGGTGCTATAAAACACCCCCTGCAAAACCTCCAGGTGGGGTGAGAAGTAATTGAGAAAGGAATTTCTCACATTCTCCAAAATGTAATCAAACAAAAATCACTTTTGTTTTTACTCAAGTCTTTCCAAAATAATTGGGGGGTGGGGGATGGAGGGGGGATGGTGGTGAACACTGGTCTAAGACAATTTTTCAAATGTTGCACGTGAGTGAAAGTAAAATTATAACTGTCAGTTATAATGTTAATTATAGTGGCTGGGACTGATGGCAGTCATAATTACTAGCTCTATAACAGAAGTTTGAATGTGCAACAGTTTCCTCGTTAGAGAGATGCTAACAAAGCCAGAGTGACTGTACCACATTCACTCTCAGCACAACTTTGTAATTATAGCTGGAATAAATACCAACACCTGATGCTGAGCAATAACTAGAGAATCTAACGCTCCAACCCTTCCTCGTAGTGAGCAACAGTTTTTATATCCAGGTAATCCCTTCTATCTCTACTTATGCAGGAAACCAATAAGAAAAACAAAAGTATGACTTAAAGTGTCCTGGTGATGAGGGAATGCTCAAAAATCGAAAGGCGAGTTTTTTTTCATTTGTTCCAAGTAATTATCATCTTGATATCAAGAGCTATGCATGTTTTTACAGGGAGATTATGAAGAAAGGGGTTGATCACCAAATTTATCCATTTCTATGATTTTCCAAAGGTGACAGTAGGTCAAAAGGAACTAAATCTCTCCCCTCAGATATTCCTGTTCTTCACGGAGTGCTGAAGAGCAATTTTTTTCCCCTCTAGGGACATTTGATAAGAAGATGTATAAAAGCTAAAGCCAGAATGTGTTAGATTGTTAAGTTACTCCCTACTTTAAGATAAATACTTATTCCTTAAAATGATGTTTTCTGTGTATGACCAAAGTGCTTCTGGTGACCTGAATCCAATTTTCAGCCTCTCTCAATGCAACAGTTGGAAAACAGATGCTGAGACGCTTCTGTATGTTTCAGCATAATTTAGTCTCCAACTCCTTTTGACATAAACATGAACAACATAGAGAACTGTTCTTGCTAAACGACCAGAACACAAATTCCTTCGCATTGGTGCTTTTATTCGTAACTCAATGCACCATATTCCAAATTCAAATTAAAATATACAGTTGCTTACACTCTCAGTGCCATCATCCCAACCTCTTTTCTCATTTGTCTTCCTTTTCCACAGTGAGAAGAGGGTAAGAATAAATTCCCCAGTCACCTGAAGAATCCAAAGATGGAAAAAGAAAGAAACAAACAAACAATAAACCCCCCCCCACTTATATCAAGGTCACTCCTCCCAAAGCCAACACACTGAAATTGGATTTCTCCTTTTCCTGAACTATCTTCTACAACCAGCTCCTCATTTCTCTCTCATTCCTCTGGCTGAGAGAAAGATGAAGTCTCCCATCTCTGTGACTGCCAGGAGAGAGCACCTTCACTTGTTCCAGGGCCTCCCAGCTTCTGCAGCAGTTGAAAGATAACAATCTCCTGTACCACACCATTCACGTAACACTCGTCTAGTAAGATGGGACCACGCTTCTGCACTTCTGTCTGCTCCCTGCATTGACTGCTGCAAGGTGCTGGTTTTACCACATCCCTCCTGCACTCGGTTTTGAAGGCCTTCTGCCACTGTTTTCCAAAGAAACTGAAACAAAATGACATTATCGCGCTGTCAGTTTACAGCTATCTAAACTTTGAAACCAAAGTCTGCAGGAGTGGCAGGATTATAGAGAATACTGTTCTCCAATTTGGGAAGATGGCCTTGCAGCTATTTGCTTTCTTTTTATTTCTGCAAGTTTTTTGCTTATTGTCATGAGGCTATGAAATGTATGGTGCTCGTCTGGAATGGCTCCCTACTTGCACAAAAACAACTGGACTTTCTGACCATTGTCTACAATGCCTTCTCTTTTCTCCCAATTTGTTCTAAGTTTTAGGGGCCTACAGATCCATTACCTTGTTGAAGAGAAAACCAGAGACTATTTTGTTAATTTTTTTAAATATACATAAAATTTTGACATATAGCATCGTTTCTTGCACAGAAATACCACAAATTATAACATCTCCATCAACCAATTTGGCTGATGTCTTTAGCTAAAATTATCCAAAACAGTCCCTCTGGCCCTTATTGTTTTACATGCATACACCAAAAAGACACTGGAGCGTGAAAATTACCTTTTATTAGACAAAAGTAAATAAAACCAAATAAAAGGAATGTTAAAAGTAAATAGAACCAAAACGCCCTCTCTAATAGGGGAAAACAAATGGCAAGCAGGAAGATGAGGTGAAAGACTTGACGAGAAGCACTATTCACGCTCCCTCTTTGCGGAGAGAATCCCTTACCCTCTTCCAGAAGACAGGAATTCTCAGCAGCTCCTGGAGGTAACCAACTCTCCTCTATGTCCCCTGTGGCTCACGCTGTTCCCTGCCACAAGGACACCTTCCCTGACACTCAGTGCCCCAGCCCACGTCTCCCGCAGGCTCCTTTCTTTTTTCAATCTCTCCCTCCCTCTTCTGTACTGCACACACAGGGCTCTTGAATGCCAAGAGTGCTCCCTTCCACTTCGGAAGAGGGAAATCTCCCCAGATCCCACTGCCCAGGACTCAACCCAACTCAGGAGTCGGCCTATGTCCCTTATACATACATATCTTGAATTTGTTTATCATTGGCTTCCTTATGTATGGATAAAGTGTAATGAAAAACCACCACTGATATAATTTATTACAGACATACTACAGATAATTATACGTGTTTACTTAAGAGATCCTGTCATCCGTTTTCTTCTGTCAGGAAACAGAACATTGCCTTTTTCCTTACTGCTTTCCTTTTGTTGTGCTGTGTTTCCAGGTTACTCTACTCATGCTCTTGCATTTGTGCTGAACAATCATAGCCACCAGTGTAAGCTCACACAGAAAATTCACCTTTTCCCTGAATGATGAGACACAGAAAAACTCCTTTCTGCATACCAAGTTCATCACACAAACACGTTATTTACAAGCTCTACTGTTTTGTGCCAGAGTAGCACTTTGTATTTTAAAGTTAGGGACTCAGTTTAAAAAAAAAAAAAAAATAGTCAATCTCATTTTGCTGCATTGCATCAGTCATGTACAGACAGGGAAAATTCAAACACATGCCCCAAACTAAAATTTTTCCCATGATGACAGCTTTTAACCTCAATCACTTCAGGGTGTATTTCCCCTTCATTCAAAATTTGCACAGGTACCTTCCATTATGGTACCACAGCACCTTCTAAGCACATGTGAATAAAGCTGAGACATCCACAATACACACTCTTTGACAAAACTGATGAGAAAGAGTCCTGTGGTCTTCCTTCCTCAAAGTAAACTCTCTATTGTTTAGTCTCAAGCCATGTAAGATCAATCTTTTCCTTTTGCTGGCATTACCTTCAAAAATTAGTATCTACACAGATTCACGGTTAACAGTGTATTTTCCCTGAACTCTTTATGTTTTGGAAATATTTTTTTTTTAACTGCAAATATGGTTGAAACAAGCATATGGTAGAAACCACACTTAGATTTAAATTGGTTACATCAGGAAGAAAAAAAAAATAAAAAAAGGCACAGAAGAGAGAAGTTCTGCTATTTGTGCACAATTACAAACTGAAAAATTGCATCAACACAATGGCAAAAGAAACATCTCCATGCCAGATGTAATCCTATTGTCTTTGTTGGTTGTTGTGGGGTTTTTTTTCTAAATTTCACGAAAAAGCTGTATACAGACATTAACACTTACTCTGAATAGGAGTGCACTCTGTTTCACTTCACTTAAGCCCTTTGGCGGATCCAAAAGCAGCATTTGAGGTTAGGAGGGCGTTGACTAACAAGAAGTGATGGGTTTATGAGCACTGTGCAACTTCAGATAAATAATGTGAGGTTTGGAGTTCAGGATCCGAACATGGTAAGGGGAATTTCGGAGCTCCAGCTGTCCCTCCTGGAGTCCCCTATAAGCTCTTCAGGGTCTCCAGGCTCTGAGTTCCGGCATCAAATTTGATGCCTAAATTTAGACAGCTGAGTATCGCTCAGGGTGACCGCTCCGTAAAAAAAATAGATTATCCCAACTCTTCCTTTTAAGTCTCATTGCTCAGGAAAACAAAACTGCTGAAGAAAACCGGAGTTTATCACCCACGAGCATTTTTGGTAGGCTGTGCCATCTATAATGCAGTCAAATTACGTATTAAAAGTTGATTTTAGCATTGCTTTGAGTGCAAACACTTTCAGATGACTTTTGGGTAAGCTGACAAATCAAGGAACGTGGGAAATGCAAGCAGATGTTGCCACTGCATCAGTGGCAACTAAGACATTATGAGGATTTTTTGTTTTCCCAGATAACAGGGAAGAATTATTTTAGAGGACAACAAAAGATACCCTTGGACAGAATATCCCAAGTGGGTAGAAACAGATTTACAATAAATCACCTACACAGTTAAAGTCTTTATTTTAAATTGTGCTCCTGCATATGAAAATGCTGACTATGATGGGAAAAAAAGCTGTCCATCAAGCGTGTATCAAACTGTCAACTGTTAAAGGCCATACCAATGACAATACTCTGCTGCCTGGTTCCAACTCAGGCTTACCTGGACAGACAAATTATTTTCTCACCTGCCTCAAAATATTTTTTTAGAGCTCCTTCTCAGCAAATCACAACAAAATTTCAAGTCAGAGTTGAAACAAAACAAAGCACTACAAGCAGGATATTAATTTATATTTAAATATAGGAAAAGTCACTAATATACGCATTTTTTTCCTTCTTTTTATCAGAGAACGTTAATGTTAACGGGCATAACAGACGGTTCTGCCCGTGAGCACTTTTTGAGAGCACTAAGCAATCAGTGTGGGTAAATTTGATCACTCTCAGATTTATTGCTTACCACCACCTGAGGCATCAGGTAACGGTTCTGCCATGTACTCAAAATGTAGCTGACATTAGCTTGTATGTTCTACCTGGTGATAGGACTGTATCATCTACCACTTCTTTTTTATTTTTTAAATATGTAATGCTCTGATGATGTGCCTTTCATGTTTAAAGCTAACTCAAATTGCTGATAATAGCACCTATCAATACAATTTCAGATCTACAGCTATCTGTTCTTTCCAAAGTACATACTGCACTTTTTAAATTCCCATGGATACAAGATTAGATTAACGAACTAGGATGATGTAACAGTTAAGACAATTGACTTAAATCTATAAACAGATGAAAATCCATTTCCAACAAGCTCTCTTTTACATATTAAGCTAGTGCAGAACAAAGTATTTCCCTATCACTCTAAATGAGGCGTACTTTTTCTTACAAACTAAAATAAAAGCAATCACCTACAAATAAAACTCAGTAAAGACTTTAAACAGAGATTGTTTTGCGGTGTTCCTTGGTGCCATAAATTTCAAACTAAGTATTTTCCCTGCTTGCATGTGCTATAATACACTAAGTCAGATTTCAGTTACTAAGCACAGGAACTGTTCTCACAGTTTTCATGATCAGAATGAAATTTCTTTGGTGTTGTCATTGTCAGAAACAGTGCCTAATGAAACAACTAGGGAATATTTACATTTATAGATTTTGGAGTTTCAAAGATGGACATGTAACAATCACCTATGTACATTATTTCAGTAATAAAGTTAAACTTGATTTCATTTTCAGGATCAAAATCCACATCCAAACGGAAGTAAGTTAGCAACTTTTCATCTTCATAGTTTCATAGATTTCTAGGTTGGAAAAGACCTTAGAGATCATCGAGTCCAACCATCCCTAATCCCCATTAAACCATATCCCTAAGTAGATCATCCACCCTATTCTTAAACACATCCAGGGATGGGGACTCAACCACCTCCCTGGGCAGCCTATTCCAGTGGCTGACAACCCTTTCAGAGAAGAAATACTTCCTAACATCCAACCTGAATCTCCCCTGACTAAGCTTATACCCATTTCCTCTTGTTCTATCACCCAACACTAATGTAAAGAGCCCTTCCCCCACCTCCCCACCATCTTTTCTCAAGTATTTGTAGGCTGTAATCAGGTCTCCCCTCAGCCTCCTCTTCTCCAGGCTAAACAGCCCCAACTCCCTCAGCCGCTCCTCATAAGTTTTATTTTCCAGCCCCTTGACCAGTTTAGTCGCAGTTCTTTGGACTCGCTCCAGGAGCTCAATATCTCTCTTAAAGCGAGGGGCCCAAAACTGGACACAATATTCCAGGTGCGGCCTCACCAGTGCCGAGTACAGGGGCAGGATCACTTCCCTGCTCCTGCTGGTAACACTATTCTTGATACACGCCAGTATCCCATTGGCCTTTTTGGCCACCTGGGCAGGTATCTACAAAAGATGTAGAAGTAATGCTGCTACTTTCTCCCTGTTTCAAAATTTGTCTCAAGAAAGCTTCCAGCTGAAGGACAGGACTTCTGTTTGGATCTTAATCAGGTATTATTTTCTTACACTTAAGGTCACAATACACGACACATCCAGAGGAATTTCACGATCTTCTCACCTCTATCAACACAGTGCTCCTATTTTCAGCTTCTCATGAGACAGAGAGGGAGCCTGCAGAGTTACTGGAGTGCTGGGAGCACCAGGATTCTGCTCCAAAGGGTCTTGGCTGCAGTTACCACATGGAAGAGCCTGGGCAGAGGGGAAGGAGCCGCAGCAGAATCCTCC